TTTCTCCTTTTATGTATAAAATTAGATTAAATAAAACTGCCCCTATAGTAGACAATAAAACAATATTAACAAATAACAGTGACCCCTCCCCATTAAAAATATATTAAATACAGATGTCAGTTAAAACATAGAATTAAAAACAATGGGGTGGAAGGATGTCTGACGGGAGGAAGACCAGGTTGGATGCGGTGAGGAACACAATCCTAGACCAATCCTAAGGAGCCCTGGTGGTGCAATGGTCAAATGCCGGTCCTGCGGCCACAAGGTTGTGAGTTCGATTCCAGGGGCTCCAAGGTTGACTCAGCCTTCCATCCTTTCATAGGTCAGTAAAATAAATCCCCAGATTGCTTTTACAGATTATACACTGCTTAGAAAATGCAGAGTTCACTGTGAAGCAGTATAGAAATGTTAATGCTATTGCTATTGCTAACCCTAGGATTTATGGGGGGGAGTATATTGTTTCTTGTATTATTTTTAATGTTGCTAACCACCCTGATTGGATTATCAAAGGGTGGTATATAAATAAATTTATTATTATTATTATTATTATTATAGTTTCCCAAGACATTTAGGATTCTCCACCAGAGTGTTCCAGATTATATAGGATACAGCCATGGCAGTTTAAGTGCTACACTTGTGTGTTGTCAAAGAGGGGAGTTAAGAAGCAGAGAATGAATATTGTATGAGAGCAGAAGCAGAAGAGAAGCTGGGAAGCATCATGGAGAGAACAGGGTTACCTTTGCGATGGGCAGAGACAGGTCCCAGAAGGGATCGAAGGCTGTTGAACAATATCCGCAAGCGCTGCAGGTCAGAGAACTCTTCAGCTGTCCGACAAAAAGATCTGAAAAGACACAATAATGTTGGGAACATGAAGAGGGAGCATGGATGGGAAACTCTGCTTATTTCATTCTTGCAGATGAAAAATGAATTATTTCAGAAGTTTTCTTATTTATCGATCACATGTATTTATTAAATTTATACCCCACCTTTCTCCCAAGATGGGATCCCAGGGGCTTTCCTGCTGGGGGAAAGATTTAGAAGTGTTTGCATGATCTTTCAGTTGTTTTGTGCATTTGGGGATTTTTTTAATGGTAAAATTTGTGCAGAAAAGCCTGTTTTTGCAGAAGGGGGAAAACCCCAGTTTTGCTGAGAAAGCAGCATGTCTTATGCAAAAATAGTCTTTTGTGCTGTTTGGGGCAAAATGATTTTTTGGAAAAATAATAATAATCCTGCAATGCGGAAAATGTGGTGGGTGGTTGATCGTTTTCTCGGCTGGGATGTTTTGACTTGTTAAGACTCATTTCTCATTAAGGCTGAAAAAATCCTGACTGTTCATTCATTCTTAAGAAGGAGGCACACAAGGAAAAGGGAGAAGATACTTATACAGCTGAATACCAGCTCTCTTGGCTGCATCTACGCTGCAGAATTAATGTATAATGTCTCCGCTTTAACTGTTATAGCTCAATGCTATGAAGTTCTGGGATTTGAGGTTTTGTGAGATATTTAGCCTTCCCTAGAAGAGACCTTTGCTGCCACAACAAACTACAAAGCCCAGAATTCCACGCCATTAAGCCGTGGCAGTTCAAGCGGTATCAAACTGTATTAATTCTGCTGTGTAGATGCAGCCTAAATCAGACCTCCTTTCTGGACCCAGAAGGGATTAATGAAATAAGGCTGGGCATTTGGGTCAAATACTGACCAATCATCCTGAATATACTACATTTATCAGCTTTTTAAAAAAAGATTTATGCACACACACAATTAAGCATTGCTGCAAAACAGTTAATTTTTAACAGCATTAGGTAAGGGGTCTCTATATACATTTCTATGGTTCACTGGGCAGTTCTTTTTGGCTTCTCTCCCAGAGCACAACTGTTGCACAATTTTATAAACTGAAGTGAAATGAAATGAAAGCCAAGTAAAAGCATGGCCATCCTAATCGCTGTTTTTCAAGGCAGTTTTCTCAGACCAAAGATCGGTGACCAGGACTTGTAGTTTCATGGGATATTTCGCAGTATTGGGTTAAACGACAGCCAGTCAACTGATCATATTTGACGGATGTCAGCCTCGCATTAAGCACTCTGCCAACCGCATGGTCAAGACATGATGTCTGGCCCAAGGTTTATGCTGACGCTATCGTGCGGAATAATTTATTTCTTCTGCATTGGATCCTGAGGTTTTCTTCTGCAGCAGCAGCCACAGGCTCCCATGTTCGTGGGGCAGTGACTCCACTCCAGATGTTAATTGGCATCTTGAAGGAGCAAATAGGGTTAGCACCTTGGACAGCGCCATTAAAGTTTGAACTAAAACTCAGAGCAGACAGATCTATCTCCACTAATATGGAAGCCACCGGCTGCCACTGAATTTCAGTGAGATAAGAGCTTGGGAAAGTTACCTTTTTTTGGACTATAAGAGGCTATGCTGGCTGGGGGTACTAGGGCTGCATCTACACTGCAGAATTGATGCAGTTTGACTCTACTTTAACTGCTGTGGCTCCATCCTATGGAATCCTGGGATTCGTAGATTGTTATTGCACAAGAGCCCTCTGACAGTAAATACTTTGCCATACTACAAATTTCAGGATTCCCTAGCATTGTGCCATGGCAGTTAAAGCACTGTCAAACTGGATTAATTCTGCACTGCAGATGCAACGTTGGGGTTGTAGTAAAAACCAGCAACTCTCTCCCAAGCTTTGAGTTCTGGCATCAAGGGGTTTTTGTTCTCAAAGGCTACCCCTTAAATCCCCAAACGTGTCAAGCACTTACCCCCGATCCGGCTGTCTTCTCTAGCCAAATATTTCATCCACATCTGCCTGCCTTTTTCTTCATCACTGCAAGAGGCGAGAAAGGGAAAAGAGGACTTCAGTTGGCAGCAAGCTTTTCAGGGTCAAAGCCAATTCACATGAAAGCCTATGTGTACCTGGAGAATGGGGTGATGGATCTATCGGAAAGGGGAGACCTGACCTAAAATACCCCTTTGGCCATGCAGTTTCTTGGGTAAACCTGGTCTCTCTGGGCCTAACCTAGTTAGCAGGGTATCTGTTAAGAAGCCTGTGACTGGGATAGAGAAAAAACCCAGTATGTTGCTGTGAATTCCTGGGAAGAAACATGGGGTGGAACAAATGCAATAGGGATGACTTGGAAGGATTCTCTATGCACTGCTGGTATGAGAAGCCGATGCTCCTGGAATGGATCAGCACTAAAACAAAGCTGAGCCAAGGTTGTCAAAGGATGCTCCGCTGGTTTCCTGGGAGGAGGAAAGGCCTATTGCCATAGTTTAAGTTTGCAGTGTCAATGCACCCATGCTCTTTAGGTCCTCTGCTTGCAAGGGAGGTGAGCATCCGTCCAACTGAGACATCCTTGCCAATGAGGTGCGAGTGTGCAACTGCCAAATATCCTCGGCCAGCCCAGTGTGCTTGCAACGTCTGGCCCCAATGCTTTGCTCCCTACTGCCTTCCCTTAATCTGCTTTCTCCCACGGTTTCTCCCATCTTGATGGTGACTCACGGGAGGTGGTCCAGGTTGTCGCTGCTGCCTTTGGGACGCACCAAGACCCGGTTCACCTCAC